AACTATAATCGAAAAAAAAATAATGAAAAATTAATACAACCAAATATTTAATCTCATTTCAAAAAATAGATTTTTTAGTATTAGTATCATGTGTTTTTGGTTTATTATTAATTACTATTGTAATCGTTATTATTATTATTATCTATTACTATACAGTATATTAAAAAAAATTTTTGTCGATCATGATCATCACCATAGTGGATTTCTTGTCACAACGGATTTTTTGGCTGGTACCAGAAACCATGAACAGTGAACAAGACATATCCATACAGAAAAAACAAGATAGCATAACACCTTCTAAGAGGACGTCAGAAGCTCTTTTGGGAAAGGATGAAATTTGTGATGATTTTGAAGAGACCCAAGATATCCAAGATTATGCCTTGATTATAAAAAATAAAAAAGTTCTTTTAAACATGGAAGAGTGGTGTCAAAAATCTAAATACATCAAGGAAATTCACAAGCAAGAGTATGTCTGTTGATAACATCTTCTAATATTATTGTCTCATCAGTAACTTTATTTTACAGTCTGTTGTATTATAACATAATAGAATAATATTCTTTTATCCTCATTTTTTTTAGTTTCTTTAAGATCTTCAAGAAAATTAATACATATATCAGATATATATATGGGACATGCTGCAACAAAACCAGACAAAGTGAACATTGGTATTACCAAGAATTTTAGGGATCAAAATTTAGCAATGTGATTATTAAAATCGCCCATTTGTCACCTTCTTAATATTAAGTGATATGTAGAATTACCTCTATATAAAAATAGTTAATATGAAACTCATTTACATTAGATCTGCTATAGAACCCAAGAATTATAGCACAATCAGAAGCATTTTGAAGAAAGAACAAGGTGAAAAAATTGCTCCTTACATTTTCAAAATAAATGATACTCAGACACTAGAAACTTATCTAAGAAAAGAAAGGATTACCTATGAAATTTACCAAGAAGAAAGAAAAATAATAAATATTGAAAAAGAAAGCATCATGATGATGCATTATTACCTAATAAAAAGCAAAAAACTTTCTTTTGATGATGGAAACAAAAGCAAGAGACTCAAGCAAGCAGCTATGTAATATTATTAGCATATTCTTATATAGCATTGAAATATTCATACATTCTATTAATCTTGAAAAATATCAGAAATTTTATTCATTGATTTTTCATTTTTTAGAACTGGCAAGTGAAAGAATGTTTGAATTTTGGAAAGCTGCCTTTGCTTTCTTTTCTCAACATTTATTATTTTTCTTTCTTCTTGATAAATTTCATTAGTAATCTTTTCTTTTCTTAGATAAGCTTCAAGTGTCTGAGTATCATTTATTTTGAAAACATAAAGAGCAATTTTTTCACCTTGTGTCCTTTTTTAGAATACTTCTAATGGTGCTGTAATTCTTAGCTTCCACAGTAGATCTGATGTAAATGAGTTTCATGTTATTATTTTTGTATAGGGATAGTTCTATATATCACTTAGGATAATAATAACAAATGGGATACAGTCAAACCTCGTCACAGCGGATTGATGGGTCCTTAAAAAACAGATTTATCAATTGCTGTCCAAAGGGACTTGAGAAGGAATTATTGATCTCATTATTCAAATCCTACAGAAATGCGAGGTCAATACTATAAAACACATCAATAACATTGGCAATAATGCAAACTTATATAAGTATTAGCATATCCAGCAGTTCTTCGATTTTCTATATCATTGGTTATTGCACTTTGGAAATATTCTCTGGTTTGGCTAGTAGGACATTCTTAGTAAATAACATTCTATGTATAATTTTCTGATAATACAATGTTCTCATGCTTACTTTTGCATCTTCTTTCATTATTTCCAGTGGAGTATCTCCAATGATTTTTAAGCATCCTTAAAACACTTACCCAGCCAATGCATTTCCATGATTATTTTCTTGTCTTCTTTTTTTTGTATCTTTTTTTGATGACATTATAAAAAAAAAATTTTAAAAAAGAAGTTTGTGATTTGATCAATGCGTACACATTACTTATTTATCCTATTGGTTTTTTTTTTGGGACTTTTTTTTTAAATTAGCAAATTATTTCTCTGCTGATTTCTTTTCTTTCTGGGTTCTTTATGGTTCTGTGTTAATGTTCTTTTCTTAGTGTTTATTATTTTTCTTTCTTCTTGGTAAATTTCATAGGTAATCCTTTCTTTATCTAAATATGTTTGCAAGGATTTAGTATCTGCTAATCTAAAAATATAAGGTGCAATTTTTTCACCTTGTTCCTTCTTCAAAATACTTCTAATGGTACTGTAATTTTTGGGTTCCATAATAGATCTGATGTAAATCAGCTTCATATTAATTAATAATTTTTGCCTAGACAAATATCATGATCACATTACATTAGTAATGCAATTGAATACAATTATGATGTTAAAAACAATATTGATGCCTGAAATTCTTTGGTAATACCAATGTTCACTTTGATTTTGTTGCAGATAAAAATTTTTTTGGTGATCAGTGACATATTAATACACTACTACATGAATCCCAGTCTTTCGGTAAGACAACCCCCAAAAAATGATAAAAAAATTTTTTTAATCAAATAAAAAAAAATGCTTGTTACCTCGGTTTTGTCTAGAACTACCCGTTCAACCTTTCAATTATTGCGTTCTAAAACTACTATAACATCAAGGACAAGTCATATCATCAATAGTAATAACTTACTGTTCAAAAATAAATATAATCAACTTCCTTCTCTTACAACACAAATTCGTAACAAAGTTTCTGCTGTAAATCCACAAACTCCTCCATCCCCTAACGATGCTTTTCTTCAAGGAAACACAGCCTCGTATATTGAAGAGATGTATGAAGCTTGGCTCAAAGATCCAAGTTCAGTTCATTTATCCTGGCAAATATACTTCAAAAATATCAAATCTGGCATGAGCTCAGGAATGGCTTATCAACCTCCTCCTACTATTGTTCCCTTGACTGGAATGAGCACCACTTTATCACCAGATATTGAAACTTATGGAGCTTATGATGTTAATGATCATATGAAAGTACAACTGTTAGTAAGAGCTTACCAAGTTCGTGGTCATCATATTGCAAAGCTGGATCCTTTAGGCATTCTAAATCCAGATTTAAGTGATTCCATTCCAAAAGAACTTGATCCTAAACATTATGGTTTTTCGGATGCTGATCTTGATAGAGGTTTTTTTCTTGGTGCTGGTATCTTGCCTGGATTTTCTGAAACTGGCAAAAAAACACTTCGTGAAATTATAGATATTTGCAAAGAAATTTATTGTAAGTGGTTTTTTTCTTTTCTCTCCCCCCCTCCTGTGTGTATAGAAGCAAATAATAATAATTTTTAAAATATATAATGAAGGTGGTCATATTGGTATTGAATATATACATATTCCTGATAGAGTTCAATGCGATTGGATACGTGAAAGAGTTGAAATTCCAAAACCATATAATTATTCAATTGAAGAAAAACGAAGAATTTTGGATCGTTTGATATGGTCTGATTCATTTGAAAGATTTGTTGCCACAAAATATCCCAATGAAAAAAGATTTGGTTTGGAGGGTTGTGAAAGTTTGATTCCTGGTATGAAGGCTTTGGTATGTTGTCATTATTGTTATTGTTGCTGTTGTTGTTACATCATTTTGTAATTATTTAAAATATCTAAAATACATTAATACACAAAAAAAATAATTAGATTGATAGATCTGTTGATTTAGGAATAGAATCAATTGTTCTTGGAATGCCACATCGTGGTAGACTTAATGTACTTAGTAATGTGGTTCGTAAACCAAACCAATCTATATTTTGTGAATTCAGTGGTTCACTTGAACCATCTGAGGAAGGATCTGGTGATGTCAAATACCATTTAGGAATGAATTATGATAGACCTACTCCATCTGGTAAACGTGTAAACCTTTCATTGGTGGCCAACCCATCTCATTTGGAAGCAGTAGATCCTGTTGTACTTGGTAAAACTCGTGCATTGCAATTTTATATGAATGATGAAAAGGAAAGACTTCATTCAATGGCTTTATTGTTACATGGTGATGCTGCCTTTGCTGCTCAAGGTGTTGTCTATGAGACAATAGGCTTTCATGACTTACCAAATTATACAACCGGTGGCACTATTCATATTGTTGTCAACAATCAAATTGGTTTTACTACTGATCCTAGATTTGCACGTTCCACTCCTTACTGTACTGATATTGCAAAGGTGGTAAATGCTCCCATATTTCATGTGAATGGTGATGATGCGGAGGCTGTGACTTTTGTTTGTCAATTGGCTGCAGAATGGAGACAAACATTCAAGAAAGATGTGGTTATTGATATAGTTTGTTATCGTAAATATGGTCACAATGAAGTTGATCAACCCATGTTTACACAACCTAGAATGTACAAACAAATTGCTAAACAAATTCCTACACTTGATCAATATGTTCATAAACTTCTTGATGAAGGAACTTTTTCATTTGCTGATATTCAAAAACATAAAAAATGGGTTTGGGACACTTTGGAAGAAAGTTATACTGAAAGTAAAGACTATAAACCTTCTGGCCGTGAATGGCTTTCAAGTTCTTGGAATGGTAAAAAAAATTTTTTAATATATTTATTAATATAAAATTCAATCCATTTATTTATAAATGACTTTTTCTTCCTCTATTCAACAAAAAAAAAAAAAAAGGGTTTAAATCACCAAAAGAGCTTGCCGAAGAAATAACACCAGTTTATCCAACAGGTTCACCTCTTGAGGCTCTTCACCATGTTGGTGATAAGATTAGTTCATATCCAAAAGCATTCAATGTGCACCCAGGTCTAATTAGAATACTTAATGCTCGTTCTAAATCAATCAAAGAAGAGAAAAATATAGATTGGCC